TGTCCTGTCTTGGCCTTCCCTTCCTTGTCCTTCTGGAACATAGAAGTCTCAATCTCCTGAGAAGTGGCAGCCTCAGCTACCTCCCTGACTGAATAAAATCTCCTCGACACGAGGTACCGTCGGAGATTAGGGCGAAGCCCAGCCAAGAACATCTGAGCCTGACGCTCTCCTGTCTGCCACATGCCTGTGAAATGTAACAGCTCCATGAACCGGCTCTCAAAATCAGCCACTGACATGTCCCCCTGAGTTAATCGGGACAACTCAAGCTCCTTCCCGGTCCGTGCTGTAGAAGAAACGTACTGTCCATCAAAGAAATATATGAAGTCCTCCCACGTGAGGGTCAGCCTCTGCTCTGGAGTGAACTGGAGTCGGTACCACCTCCCGGCATCTCCCTTCAGGCTGTAGGATGCCAGTCTCTGCTTCTGAACTGAATCTACACCGAGTATGTCGAGAATGTTGCTCACATCCTCCTTCCACTTATGGGCTGCAAGAGGGTCTGGTGACCCCTAGAACTCTGGTGCCCTCATCTTCTGATACCTCTCCACTATACGGAGCCAAGCCTCCTGCTCTGTGGTCCTATCTGGGACTGCTAGAGGAATGGCTGCAGGCATGACCTCTGGAGGTCTCAGGTATCCCCTGCTGCTGAGCTACCGGTGGTGGTGGTGTCCGTGGTGCTATATGAGTCGTCACCAAGTCCTCAATGGCCGTCATCCTGGCAATGAGAGGAGCCATAAGATCTACCAAGTACTGAGGAGCCTGCTGCGGCTCTGGTGGTGCCTGCTGGGGCTCGGACTGAGCTGGCTGCTGCTCTGATGGAGTCTGCTGTGACTCCGCCTGGGTAGCTCTCCTGGTACGAGGTCTACCACGTCCTGACATCTATCTGATCATAAGAAAATAAAAGTTTATGGGTCAAAATAAACTTCTAAAAGTAGTGTATCACAATACAATCTTCACAACATGTAGTATTCACACAAAATACTTTAAATTTGCAAAATAGTTATC